TGAGCTTTTATACTTGCTGCTCTTTCTCTTCAAACTAAGAAACTAACAAATGAACATAACACATCTCTTTGCCATTTTTGATAAATTATCCTTTTGGTAATGACTTCCAGTGAACTCTGCAGCCAGGTTTTTTTTTTTTTTTTTTTTTTTTTTAAGGTGCAGGGTATCAAAATAAAAGTGCTTCAGAAGAGTTACTTGCTTTATTTTTATAAAAAAGTTTTATGATGATTTAAATTTAAATTTATTATATAAGACATCAAATTCTTACAACCAAATTTAAGTTCATATTTAAATTTTTGAATTTACTGTAAATTGTATTTTAATTAGGAAGAATATAAGTAACTGAAATTTACCTCAATATCATTTTTTACATAGTAATTATAACTCCTTATTTCCTAATTCTTTTCTAAATTATATTTTAAAATATAATGCTTTGCCTAGTACTTATACTATTATTCTCATGATATATAGGTATGTACTATATATAAAAGCAGGAAATTCCAAAACAATTACTAATACTACATTCAGTTTTTATTCAGAGTTCCATTGCACCAAGCATTTTGCAATGCGATTGAAAATGTTCCCAGGGTACTTTCTTACAGTATTTTTGCATTAGATTACATACTACAACGTTTATTCTATAGAAGATAAAAATGGAAGCTGTGAGTAGTTGAGTATTGCTAACAATCTCTCCTATTATACATTACAGCTGAAACCACTGGAGGTAGTTTAATTTTAGTAACTTGGAAGATAGTCTCAATCGGGTCAGACTACAGCTAATCTGCAGTTAAATATGAAACTGAAGAAAAACTATGAATACTTAGAATAAAGGAAAAAAATTTAAAGACCTTTACTTTAAAGACCCACTCTTAAGGGAAAGTCATATGAAGCCATAAACAGATTCATTAACAAAGTGTAAACTCTCCAAAGAGGAACCTTGTTTACAGATTGAGTTGATGGTTCTCCATCTCTCTCAGGATGAAATTTAATTCTTCATGATTTGCCATGAGCCTGGTTTTTGAGCCTAAACACCAGCCACAAAAGTTCTTCCATAGACATTTGTTGTTGGTGTTAGGTGCCATCGAGTCGGTACTGACCCATAGTGACCTTATGGGCCAACCTCACAATGGTTGCCACACTTGAGTCCATCAATGCTGCCACTTGGCCAACCCATCTATTGGGGGTCTTCCTCTTTTTCTCTGACCCTCCACCTTACCAAACATGGTCTCCTTCTCCAGTGACTAGTCCCTCCTGATAATATGTCCGAAGTATGAGAGACAAAGTTTGGTCATCTTGGCCTCCAAGGAACATTCTGGCTGTACTTCTTCCAAAACAGGTCTATTGGTTCTTTTGGCAG